TGGACTGCGCTTGCGCAGGCCACGCTCATCCGTTCCAGGGACTTACGCTCCAGAAAAGTTACAGCAAACTTTCTAGCCTCTCCGCCCGCCCCTTCTCCGTTCCAGACCCGCCCCCCTGTGGAGCTGGGAATTCCGAGGGGCGGAGCACAGGCAGAGATGGGGAGTGGGGGGGCCTTCAGAGGACCCTGGAGACGGAGGCGTGCAGAAGCTCAGTCTTGGGGTGGAGGTGGCTTCGCGCCCTTAGCCCTCCCGGACGGCCCGTTACCTTCTCCGTTGTCCCGATGGGGAAACTGAGGCCCTGAGCCAGAGGCACATGCGGGGGGGAGGCAAAAAGAGCAGCCCGAGGCAGAGGGAAAACAAAGGGAGAATCACGGACAGACGGGGAGGGGAACGCGCACACACAGACACTGGGAGAGAGACCCTACTCGGGCACTCGGCCTGGCATTGAGGGGGAGACTCTGAGTCGTTAGGGGGAGAAGATCGGGAAGCGCGAACGGGGTGTTGAGAGGGGGGACGGGCGGGGGAGGGGGCTGGGGAAAGCCCGAGGGAGGAGGAGAAGGAGGGAGGAACTTCCCAAAGTTGCAAAACATGGCTACCTTGCCTGCGGAGCCGAGCGTGGGGCCGGCAGCTGGGGGGGAGGCGGTGGCGGCGGCAGCGACCGAAGAGGAGGAGGAGGAAGCACGCCAGCTCCTGCAGACTTTGCAGGCGGCCGAGGGTGAGGCAGCGGCGGCGGCCGGGGCCGGGGCGGGCGAAGCGGCGGCGGGAGCGGAGGGCCCGGTGTCCCCGGGCGTCCCCGGGTCGCCCCTCGAGGCCGCTGCCGAGCCGCCCACGGGCCTCCGCTTCTCGCCCGAGCAGGTGGCGTGTGTCTGTGAGGCGCTGCTACAGGCGGGCCACGCCGGCCGCTTGAGCCGCTTCCTGGGCGCACTGCCCCCGGCCGAGCGCCTACGTGGCAGCGACCCGGTGCTGCGCGCTAGGGCCTTGGTGGCCTTCCAGCGGGGCGAGTACGCCGAGCTCTACCGGCTGCTCGAGAGCCGCCCCTTCCCCGCCGCCCACCACGCCTTCCTGCAGGACCTCTACCTGCGCGCGCGCTACCACGAGGCCGAGCGGGCCCGCGGCCGCGCGCTCGGCGCAGTGGACAAGTACCGTCTGCGCAAGAAGTTCCCGCTGCCCAAGACCATCTGGGACGGAGAGGAGACCGTCTACTGCTTCAAGGAGCGCTCCCGCGCCGCGCTCAAGGCCTGCTATCGCGGCAACCGCTACCCCACACCGGACGAGAAGCGCCGCCTGGCCACGCTCACAGGCCTCTCGCTCACGCAGGTCAGCAACTGGTTCAAGAACCGGCGACAGCGTGACCGGACCGGGGGCGGTGGCGGCGCACCCTGCAAGAGGTGAGGGGACCCTGGCAATGCAGGACCCGTTTTCCCTGGAACTTGCTGCCCACCAGCCCCCCTCTCCCTCATGCCCACTGCTGGAGCCAGCGCGAAGTCTTCAGACGCCTCCCGCTCACACCCTCTGGCGCCCAACGAGCGGGGGGAATAGTGTGGATGGAACGGGCACACGCCCCGGGCCCTCTCCCCGACATCGCTGCACCTCTCACGGAGGCTGGGAGATCTCTTTCCTCTGCTTCTCTGGGGCTCCATCCAGGATCCCATCCGTGTGGGTGGCTAGACTGCGATAGGGGGGCAGTGAGAAAAAGGGGCTGCGGGGAAAGAGGGAGGGGCCTTTGTCCACCCTACCCGGTGCGAGGGCTTCTTTCTGTCCGCTGCACAGCCGGGCCCTTTCCGGACCGTGGGTCTTTCTCACACCTCCTTCCCCGCCACCCCCGCCTCAGGGCCCAAACAGCGTGGTCCGTAGTCTGTCTTTGTTGTGAAACGTGAACCTTCCCCAGCTCCGGTTTCCATGTAACCCAAGCCCTTCCCCTCCCACCCCGCACGCCGGCCTCCCTTCTCTGACGCCCTGGGAGGAGGGCACCGGGAGCTGAGCAGGGGCTGCCTCCTCGATCTCCAAAGCCATGGGGCTGCTTTCTGCCTGACCCAGGAGACTCAGGGCAGCTTGGGCGCTCAGCTTCTGGGACTCAGGGAGAAGGGCCTCCTCCTTCCGGATTTGGCCAGCTTTAGCTTTTATGCCAGTGGGGTCAACACAGAACTTGCAGAGGATCTGTCCCTGGGGTCCTTAGTTGGTCTCAGAGAGGAGGTTTCATAACCCCCAGAAATTGTCCCCAAAAGGTTGGGCTGGGAAAGGTAGGGAGGCGCCTGTAATTGTGCAGGAATCTGGCTGGCCAGTGGAGGAACACCGCGTTCAGGGCTACAACTTAAAATCGTTTCTCCTGGCAGTGAGTCTGACGGGAACCCTACCACCGAGGATGAGTCCAGCCGCAGTCCTGAGGACCTGGAGAGGGGGGTGGCTCCAGCGGCCACCGAGGCCCCTGCCCAGGGCTCCATATTCCTGGCTGGGGCCGCCCCTCCTGCACCATGTCCTGCCTCTTCCTCCATCCTGGTGAACGGGAGCTTCCTGGCTGCCAGCAGCTCTCCAGCGGTGCTCCTCAACGGGAGCCCCGTCATCATTAACAGCCTGGCCCTGGGTGAAGCCTCCAGCCTGGGCCCCCTGCTGCTCGCAGGGGGTGGGGGTGCCCCACCACCACAGCCCAGTCCCCCAGGCCCCAGTGAAGGCAAGACCTCCTTGGTCCTGGACCCTCAGACTGGGGAGGTTCGACTGGAGGAGGCTCAGCCTGAGGCCCCCGAAACCAAGGGGACCCAGGTGGCTGCTTTGGGGCCACCTGGAGAGGAGGTGCCTGGGCCTCTGCCCCAAGTGGTGCCTGGCCCCCCACCAGCTGCCACCTTCCCTCTGCCCCCAGGACCAGTGCCTTCTGTGGCTGCTCCGCAAGTGGTGCCACTGTCCCCACCCCCTGGGTATCCCGCAGGCCTGGGCCCCACCTCCCCACTGTTGAACCTGCCCCAGGTGGTGCCCACCTCACAGGTGGTGACCCTGCCACAGGCCGTGGGGCCCCTTCAGCTGCTGGCAGCTGGGCCAGGCAGCCCAGTGAAGGTGGCCGCTGCAGCGGGCCCTCCTAACGTGCACCTGATAAACTCCGGGGTGGGCGTGACTGCCCTGCAGTTGCCTTCGGCCGCTGCCCCAGGTACCCCCTTCTGCCTCCCTCTGGCCTGGGTGAGGGGTGGTTATCTCAGGGACGGAGGGCGCTGTCGGTGGGCTTGGGGGTGGGGAATAGCTCATCCCTGGTATGTCTCAGAACCCCCCTGTGCCAGGTAGTGTGGAGGCCACCCAGACTTGGTGTGGCTCTGAAAGGGTTCAGTGTGCCTCTGACCGATCCCCTTCTTCCCACCCTCCAGCAGCTTAATGGCCACCTCTGCTTGGGCCAGCTGACCCTGCCTCTTCTAACCCTGTGCCCCACCATCTCCTCTCCCCACAGGAAACTTTCTCCTGGCCAACCCCGTGTCCGGCAGCCCCATCGTGACAGGTGTGGCCGTGCAGCAGGGCAAGATCATCCTCACCGCCACCTTCCCCACCAGCATGCTGGTCTCCCAGGTCCTGCCGCCTGCCCCCAGCCTGGCCCTGCCCCTGAAGCCAGACACGGCCATCTCAGTGCCCGAAGGAGCCCTCCCCGTGGCCCCCAGCCCCGCTCTCCCAGAGGCCCACGCTCTAGGCACACTTTCTTCACAGCAGCTGCCACAGCCACCACCTGCCCCTGCCGCCACCATTGCTGCCAGCCTGCCCTTCTCCCCAGACTCCTCCTGCCTCCTGGCCGGCTTCCCAGCACCCCCGCCAGAGGGCCTCTTGCTGTCACCCGCAGCCGTGCCCATCTGGCCGTCGGGACTAGAACTGAGCACAAGCTCAGAGGGGCTGCTAGAAGCAGAGAAGGGGCTGGGGACACAGGCCCCCCACACTGTACTAAGGCTCCCAGACCCCGACCCCGAGGGGCTGCTCCTGGGGGCCACAGCAGGGGGTGAGGTTGACGAGGGGCTGGAAGCTGAGACCAAGGTGCTCACCCAGCTACAGTCCGTGCCTGTGGAAGAGCCCTTGGAACTGTGACCCTGCCAGGCCTGGGCGCCTCTCCTGACAGTGGTGCTTGAGATCCAGGACGGCTGGGAGTAGGGAACCTTTCAGAAACAGCTGTTGAGCTAAAGATTCCCCACATACTACATCCCAATCCCGGCTGTTTAAACTCTCTAAGGCCTGGATGTGCTGGGCGGGGGTCCGCCCCTGTCCGGGGCACAGCCCCTCGGGATGGGAAGCCGCCTCTGTGACAGCCCTGTCCTTGTTCTGCCCCCATATATGTGGGGAGCTCTGGGGGTCCTGACTCAGGAGCTCGGCCCCCTGGGACCTGGTACGAGCTGTGAGCTGAAAACCTTGCCAACTGGCTGGGCCTCCAGATCCCTTGAGCCCTCTCCTTATCACTCCCTGAAACACTATTAATAGCTCCAGTGACATCCAGAGTTCTCAGAACTGCTTGGAATCCAGCGGTGGGGGACGGCTGGGCAGTCCTATGCCCAGGAACTGACAGAGCCCCCCCCCCAACGTCTGAAACAAGATGCAGGTGTGGGGAGGCGTGGGCGAGGGTCCCCAATAGCACCCCTGGACGACAGCCCTCATTATCATGTCCAGCCCCAGACCAAAGATCCCCTCACCCATGGGGTGACCTTGACCCCTGTGTCTAGTTTGTATCCTAAATCTTTATTTTTCTAGGACATGTTAAGCCTCCATTTCAATGAAAATAAAGTTAACAGAACTAAAACCTCCAGGAGTGTGGGTTATTTTCCAAACAACTTTGTCTGAATTTAACCACAGAAAGCTCAAGGTGAGATCCTGGCTTTCTGATCGCTGCCCCCAAGGCCTGGAGTGGAAGTGAGGCTCGAGGAGAGGACGGTGCCGGTTGCTTTCAAATTGGGGCCCCCAGATCCAGGGTAGGAGGAGCGCCCCCAGGGCTGAGGGAGCAGGGGACCAGGACGGCTTGCTGAGTGTCCCTTGCTGGTAACAAGGGTTTCACTTTATTTTGTTGGCAACAATAAATAACCTATAAATAGAACTGGAGGGAGGAGTAGGATAAGGTGAGAACAAACAGGGTTGAAACCATTTGATTCTGGGGTGGGCCAAGGCAGGTCAGCGCACTGGGGTGGGGGGAGCCCCTTCTTCGTAACTTCACCTCCCCGCATTTCATTCAGGTCCTCCTTCCCCAGGAGAAAGGAGCTGGGGAAGGGCAGGGTTCAGCTGCCCACGTAAAAACAAACACACAAAACATCGGAATCAGAAAACCCTCCGCCTTCCAGCCCCAGGGAACTGGCCAAGGGGACCTCGTAGCGGGGGGTGGGGCCCGAGAGGGGCAACATCCTCCCCGCGCGCTCCTGGTTTCCGCGGAGCTGCGAGGTGGCGGGGAGGCGAGGCGCGGTGCCCTCTCATTCGCAGTGAGAAAGCAGCTGAGCGGCGGGCCCTGAGGCGGAGCGGGCCTTGTCCGCAAGCAGCTGGTAGAAGGGCTTGGGCAGCCCCCAGTCCTCGTCGTCGCTGCTGGAGCTCTCTTTCTTTACAATCCGGTTGTGCTGGCGGCTGAATCTCCGCGCCTTGATGCTGCGGGGAGAGGGAGGGCTGAGTGGGGTTTTGCTCTGTCCCCAGTGTGGCAGGACTCCATTTGGTCCCACAGGGCAGGCGATCCTCTGGGCCTCCGAGTCCGGGTCTCTACCAGGGGACTCCGCCGAGGGCTCTCCGCCAAAGCCCCGCGCTCCTGTTAAAAACCCGCGCACACAGCGGTGTGTTTCAGGGCCCAACTGAGAAACGGGCAGGTGGAAGCTCCGACCTTGGGGAAGGAGAGAGGATTTTGGGAAGGAGGGGAGAGAGGGAGGAGGCCAAGCGGAAGGGAAGACCCGGTTTCCTGCTCCAAGAAACTCCGGTGGCAGAGAGGGCAAAAGAAATTTAGGGCAGTGGGGTCCAAATCCCAAATTAAGGTATCTGTCCTTCTAAGCTCCAAAGTGGAGCGCCTCTCCACCTCTGTCACCCCCAGGAATGTCATACCAGTTTGCAACACACAGATCACCCACCCCCAGGGAACTCCCAGCCTGCTTCCCATCGCGGGAAGGTCAAGGTTCTGAGGGCCAGAGCCCTGAGGAGCAGGAGGCCCTCTGCCCCCACACCGCCCCGCAGCGCTCCTCACCAGTACGGCTTCCGCTCCTGCTCCGTCATCTCCCGCCAGAGCTGGGCCAGCTCTTTGGTGGCAGCCGTGGATGCCGTCCCCGGGCAGGCTCTGGGACAGGACGGGGGAGGTAAGAAGAGGCCTGCCGGGCAGCCTGGCTCCGGCCAAGGCCAGCGAGGGTCGGGCCTGACCACGCCAGGGGCCCTTGCCCTCTCAGAGCCTCAGCTTGCGTTTGGGCACTCAGCTCTGCCCCACCCGTGTGACGTGGTGCCCTCCACTACACCCCCTGGAGCCGGGGCGTCAAAGAGGGGGCTGGACTAAATGGTTGTTGGGAAGGGGACAGCTGTGTCCCCAGACCTGTAGGGGTCCTGTGTCCCAATATCAGCCCCTGATCCTCCTGTTAGGCGCACTGGCTCTTCTCCACTGTGGCCTGGGAGGCCTCCCATCCCACCCCATCCCCCGGCCTGAAGCTGGCAATGACGAGGTGCAGCGCTGGTCTCCTGACCCACCAAGTCCGCCCCAAGAACTTTTTCTTAATGCCTCAGACACGAGGGGCTGTCCTCCCACGGGGTTGCTAGCTAGTGTGGGAGCCAGGACATGAGCCCAGACCTCTCAGGGGCGACCTTGCCCTGCCCAGGCCCCACCTGCCCGAGAATGCAGCACACCTGGAGGACAGGGGCACTGACAGAGAGGGGCAAGGACTCCAGGCCACATTCTGCGAGCCCTCGGACCAGCCCCACCCAAACCCCATGGGCCTCCCCCCTTTTTTCAGATTGCATAAGCCAATTAATTTCCTTTTTTTTCTTAAGTGGGAGGGGGGTTTCACTGCTTCCAGTTGACAGGCCGTGACCACTGCCAGGGGCCCAGGTGGGATCTGGGGCAGGGCGTGGCTGCGGAAGGGGCCACCCACCTGATATACTGCTTCCGGTTCATCCTGCAGAACATGATGAAGCCATTGACACACTTCTTCTTCATCTGAGTGGAGCAGGGGACTTTCTTGTTCTTGGGCTTCACAGGGCCCCTGCCTGCCTGGCCCTTCCTGGCCTTCCTCCTGGCCGAGGCCAAGGTCGAGAACTGGCGGCTGGGGGTCCACGTGTAGTCTCCATCCTCATCGCTCACGGACCTGGGGCCCTCGGGGTCGGCTGGAGTGTCCTGGGTGGGGAGCAGAGACGTGAGCGTGGGCGGGAGAGGCGGGGCCCACCTCGATGGCTGGGTGTCCTCACCTGCTGCGCCCACGCCATCTCCACGTCCGAGTCCGTGACCGAGTCCTCAGAGCCAGAGCTGTCCTCACTCAGCGAGGGGGGGTCCCGCGAGCCCAGGCACTGGCACAGGCCACGGCGGGAGTCAGGAAGGTCCTTGGAGGCCTCACGGGGTGAGTCCTGGGAGGTGAAGGAGAAAGATGGAGGGACGTGAGCAGAGCCGGTGGTGCCCTTCTCGCCCCCACTCTCGGCTCTCCTAGGAAAGGAGCGTGAGAAACAGCTCAGATTCAGGACAACTGCCCCGAACGCCCCTTGGGTCTCCAGACCGATGTTCCCGAGTCCCCGCAGGGGTCCGAGAGGGGCTCTCTGTGTGGCTCGGGTCTTCTGCCTCCCACTCTGGGGCCATGTCTCTCAATGCCGTCAGCCTGCCTGAGTGGCAGCCCCGGAGCCCGGGCCAGTCCTTGCTCCCCTGGGCGTCTACAGAACAGTGTCTGCAGGACTTCTGGGGTGAGCTTGGTGCCTGGCGCTCACGGAGGGCCCCACTCAGTAAGGGTGTCTATGTTTCTTTATTTTACTGTTGACACTGTTGCAGATGTCCCCATTTTCCCTGCCTTTGCCCCGCTCCTCCCAGCCCCTGATCCCTTTTCCTTCAAGGGTATCTGTTTTTGTTTCTACTGCCCATTCAACTACTCCTTGAGACAGCACCCTGCCCCCTGGAGGAAGAAGGGCTTGGGGACCAGGGCTGGGGCTGCCCCTCCGTCAGATGGACAGAGAGCTCCGGGGGGCAGATGGTGGCTACAGAGCTGAGCCCGGTGGGGGCCTGGGAGGCGGGTCTTTCCAGGGTCGACTCCTGGGGTTGCTCTGCTGCTCTCTGTCGAACGAGCCCGTCTCAGAGCAGTTGTAAAATTACGTGGGGTCTTTCATAGGCACCTGGCAGCTTTTTAGCTTCCCTCCTTAGTGTCCAGTTCATTCCAAGTGCCCGGCACAGAGTGGGCGCCTGGTGGCCAGCAGTGGGCATTCAAAGGATGAGCAGGTGGACCTCTGGCAGAGTCCAGGGGTTGGAGGCGTGAATCGAGCAGGTGAGTGGTGAGTGTGGAGAAGGGTGACCGTGTCCGTGGATGGGTGGATGCAGAGGTGCCTACCTCCTTCTGTGGAACCTCCAGCACGCAGCCAGCAGGTGAAGACACGGCATCAAAGAAAATTTCCTCAAAGAGAGCTGTCAGGGAGGGAGGCCAGAGGGTTTTTGTCGAAACCTCAGAAACAAGGGCCTGTGCTCGCACCGGACGGAAGTGCCTCCCTCTGGGCACCAGGCCTCTGCCGTGCCAGCCCACCAGCCCACTGGCCGGAGTGCCGCTCTCCAGGTTTCCAATCTCCTGCCCCGTGTCCAAACCCAGCTCGCTCCCAGGCTCGCTCCCCTGGGCCACCTCCCACCTGGGCGGAGACCGTGGGTCCCTGCAGCAGGCTCCTGGAGCCTGCCCTCCTTCTCCCCACCTGGGGCCGCTCCCGCCCAGGCTTCGGACTCTTTGCAGCAGGACCCGGGTGGGATTCATCCCTGGTGCCCGGCGCTGCCCAGCACAGGGCTGCATCATCATCATGTGTTTTCTGCGTGAACCACGCACCAGGCTCAGCCCCGCGTGCTCACCTTGGGTCAGGTACAGGCTGCTGTCCTCCAAGGTCTCTATGGGCAGCACTTTCCCCGGGGAGCTGAAGAGGGAAGGGCTGAGGCCTAGGATCTCACTCAGGGGACCCGTCACATTCCCGTTGTCAATCTGAGGGGGCCCCAAAGGCAGCGGGCTCCCTGAAGAGAAAACATCAGGCTTGCAGGGGGGTGTGGCCACAGATTGCCTGCTCCCCCGACTGGCTTTTGGGAGGTGATGCAGACACTGGGGTAAGATGACTGTCAACTGCTCGTTTTGAGGGCTTGGTAGAGGACATTGACGAGGCACAACGCCTGGTGTTATGTCAGGAATGGCCAAAAAAATAAAAAATCAGTATCATACTGTGCCAGACCCACTAGACTGATGGTAGGTAACTGGGCTTTGTGTTAAGAACGATTCTGGCCCTGGCTCGTGTGGTTCAGAGGCCTGAGCACAAGCCTGTGAACTGAATGGTCGCAGGTTCGATTCCCAGTCAGGGCACATGCCTGGGTTGCAGGAGAGGCATCCGATCCATGTTTCTCTCCCTTTCTTTCTCTCTCTCTAAAAAAAATTAATTAAATCCTAAAAAAAGGAATGGTATTCTGAGGCAGTGTCTGGGATCACCTGGACCACCGGAAACAGTGATGCTGGATTAGCAATGTCTACCATGGCAACAGACAGCTGGGGCGGTGTATTCGCCATCCCTGTGCTTAGCAGATAGCCACGCCCTTTCCCACTCCCGCCTTCCACGGAAATTCTCAGAAGGAAGGTAGCAAGAAGCCCCCACAGCAGCTCACCCAGAAGAGAGACAGAGTTTCGGTCACCTAGGGGGATGCCCTCTGAGGTCCAGGCAGGAAGCCAAGGGTCAGCGTCTGGGGCCTCCTTGTCCGCCTCCTCGCTGGACTTGTACACGGCCAGCTGCTGCCTGCAAGAGGTGAAGTTCCCTGGGTGAGCTGTCTCCCCAGGGTGCGACCTCAGGGCAGAAAGCTTATCAGTCTGAGGTGCGGCCCTCACTGAGCTTCAAGGTTAGTGAGGAGAGGCGTTGTCATCGGCACTGACAACGCAGTTCTGGGGGCTCAGGGAGGTCAGAGAGGCGGGCAGGGCGGGAGGGAGGATGGTGCTGAGCTGGGCCTGAAGGAGGGAGACTTTTCCAGGGAGACGAGGGGAACAGGCTTGCTGGGAAGAGGGATCCGAGGGTGAGAAGCCCAGAGGCGGTTCCTGTGGGTAGTGGCGAATATTTCGAGGTGTTAAGGGCAAGATTCATGGGTGAGGGGCAGGAGAGGGTACAGCAAGGTGAGATAAAGCCAGAGAAGTTCTCAAATGCCAGTGGAGCTCCTGGGCTTGGAGGGAGGGCTTTAAGCCACGTACTCACATGGTCAAGGTTTGTGTGACCAGTAAGGATGGCTTAGAAGGGGGAGGCGGGAGGCCGGTGAGGCGCTGCGGCCCATCTCTCTGAGCTTACGATACCTGCAGGAAGCTAGGCCCACAGCATCGAGCGCTCCAGGGACACCGGCCGCAGACGGACACTGACCTCGTGTCTTGATGCCCCTCGGCCATTCCAGACCAAACACCTCGGTCTCCCACACGCACAGCCTTGGGGTTCCCTTACCTGGCATAGGACTGTGTTCCGTTGACCAAATAGGTCCTCTCAGCCCCTTGCTGGGCCCCGAAGGCAGGGTAAGGCCCATCACCCTGGGCGCTGTTTCTGCAGGAGCAGCCTACGGAGGCAGTTCGGGGCGATCACCCCTGTGACCGGCACACAGTCTGCACTCCCAGAGGCGGGGATCAAGGGGTGCCGGGGTCTGCCACAGCCTCTCCCTCCTGCCCCACCCCAGCCAACCCCTCTGGCTTTGGGACCTCTGCGTGGGGCTCAGGGGCAACCCCAACCACCGCTAGGTTTGTGGAATCCCACTCCTTTATCAGAAGCTGTAAGGAAGATAAAATCCTGAAGTGGAATAACGATGATGGAGATGATGACAGCAAACAAGTACGAAGTGCTTCCCAGGGCCAGCTCGGACTATTTAAGCATTTTACATGCTGCTCAGCGATCCTTTGTGATGGAGTACCATCGTTACCCCATTTTCCAGCTCAGTAAGCTGAGGCATTAAGCTATTAAGTAAGTTGCCCAAAGTCACGCAACTAGCAGGGCTGAGAAGCCTTCCCTCCCCAGGTGAGCCAGGCACCTCCCCAAGACCTCTTAGGCAACCCCCAGAAGTCTGATCACTCAGGACCCCTTCCCCGGACTGCGTCACCAGCAGCCAGCACGTGGCCCGGCAGAGCCGCAGCGCTCGGGGAGTAAGGGCTGAGTGAACAGAGGAATGGAGGACAGGACAGCTGGAGGCCCTGTCCTCCCACTGCCCACTTTCTCACCCGGCTCTCTGCGGAGGGAGCCATCGCAGCTCCTGAACCTGGTGCCGAGACGGGGAGTCCCTCGTCTGCAGGCCGTCTCGTTGTTGCATCGAATGAAGGCTCGTGAGGAGGCCCTACTCTCACCCCCAGTCCCGCCACCTGCGGCTCTCACAGGAGGGCGGCACTGACCCTGATCCTGTCCCGCCCCTACGCCCACGGCAGACCCTCAAGGGGACAGACACTGGAGGAGAAGCCACGGCTGTGCGAGGCAAGAGGCAGTGTCCCTCCTGGGCTCCCTTGAAGCCCCAGCACCCAGCTGTCGGGACTGTGCCCAGGTGTTGCAGACGCCCAGTAAGTGGCGAATAAAGGACCGGCTGAGTTCACGGTGAGGAATGACCCACGTGGGATGCCCCAGGGTGCCCTGTCCTTAGCTACAGCCAGCAGTGCCAGCCAGGATCTGCTTCCATTCCCGTCACCTTGAGGCAAGGACAACGCAGCCTCGGGGCGAGCGTGGGAGTCAGCGCATCTTGGTGGAGCGGCGGGCCCCTCCACGTCTCTTCCTTTCTGGTCCGTGGGTGGGGCCACCTGCTTCTTAGGCTTGTCCAGGGCCAGACAGCGACGAGGGTTCTGGCCCCGGGTCTGGCGTTCTGGGACAACAGAGAGACGGCGTCAGATGGGGTCGGGCCTAAGCGTCACCACGGCCTGAGTGTCAGTCACCACGGCTCAGGTGGCGGTCTCCTTTGCTCGGGGCTCAACCACCTGTTTCAAAGCTCCACCTGGCCCAGCCACTCACGGGCTTTCTGGGCAAGCCCGGACCCTCAGTCAGAGAGACCCTAGTCGGAGGCCTCCCTCCCCTGCCTCCCGGTTAGAACCCCCATGAAAGCTCTGAAAAGCACTGATGCCCAGCTGGTGCCCCAGGCACAGACATTTTTTAGAGCGCCCTGGATGCCTGGGATGTGCGGCCAGGGCTGGATGTCACCGATTAGGTCCAACTCCCACTTTAAACTTGTGGAAACTGAGGCCCATGAAAGGGAAGGGACATGTAGGGGAGTTACAGCCAGGCTGAGGTGGGCCCTGGACGCTGGCCTCCCACACCTAGGTCTTTTCCCCCTGATGGCCTGGCCCAGGGACGGTCCCCGGCCATGGAGACCATACAGGCTGCCGGCAGCTTCCCTGCGCTGGGCATGGACCACGCGCCTCTCCTCTCACGCATTGCTTGATCGGGGTGTTTTCAGGCTCCTGACCCCTAAGACCCCCCTGTGGCAGGCACTACAACTTCCAGATGAGGAAGACGAGGCTCAGAGGACAGTGACCACCCCGGGTCTTAGAGCTAATAGAGGAGGAGCCAGAAATCGAACCCAGGCACGCCGGACTCCGGAGCCTCGTTAGGGGTTCGGGGTTGCTGACTCTGCCTCCTGGGAGTGTGGTGGCCCTGGAGAAGGAGCCCTGCTTCCATCCGACCCCCACTTCTGGTTCTGCCTGCCCCGACGGCTTGTACCTGTGGGTCGGGTCAGCTTCTTCTTCCGAGGCTTCTGACAGGCCCCCCGGACACAGGACTCACAAGAGTGCGGGGAGCTGGATGGGGTGAGGTGTCTCCGCCTTGCTGAGCCCGCAGTGGGGTTCCGACCCCGCCCTGCACAGGACCGAGGAGGAGACAGGTCAGAGGCCCTCACCCCCATCCCAAGTCCTCCATTCCGGACAGCCCCTCCCAGCGGTGGCAGGGCGGGGACAGTCTGCCACAGTCCACAGGCTGACTTTACAGACGTTGGAACCGACGGCTCAAATGGAGATCAAGGCTCTGTGAGGTGCCACCGTTAGGGGGCAAAAGGACAGGCGAAACCCGGGCTTTCCTCGGGGCCATCCTGGGTCTTAGCCTAGAGAGAAGACAGACTCAGTGCTCCCCAAATGTGTCTCCATAGTCCCCACCGCGAGCCAATTCCTCTCCCTGCCTCCCTCAAGACAGCGAGGGCTCCGCACCACCCTGGGTGGCCCGGGGCCTCCCTCCCCGCCACCCGCCTCTCAGTTTTTCCTCCTTAACCTCTCCCCAACGCACTGCTCCGTCCACACTCAGCTACACGGCCGGGTCGGCCTCAGGGTCTCCGGATGGGATTGCCCCTGAAAGTATCTCCCCTGATCTCCCAGACTCGGTTTCTCGCTTAATAACCAGTCCTCCCCCCTAGATGTCAGGGACTGCTGTCTCAAAACAAAAAACCTGCTGGCTCCACCCTGGCTGCAAGTCCTTCAGCGATTCTCACGTCACCTCCCTCCTCAGTGGCACTCGGCGCCCTTCAGGGTCTCGACCCTGCCCCCTGTGCTCCCCTTCCAGCCTGTGTGTCTTTACGCCGGTAATGGCAGCACCCAGCACTTACAGTACAGGGTGACTGGTGTGACCAGTCATGGTGTCACAATACTCCCTACGTGTATTCACTCATTTCATCTTCGAGACAAGCCCAGGAGGCAGGTCCTAGTACGGGCCCCGTTTTGCGGACGATGAAACCGAAGCGCAGAGAGGGTACCATACCCAGACAAGTACCTGAGCGCCCGGCTCACTGAGCGAGAGTCTGTGCACGTCCCCTCGATGCTACACGGTCCCTGCGCCACGCCCTCGGCTTGCCTGCCCCCACACATTCCACGCGTGTCTTCTGCCTGCACGCGCTCACTCGGGCTGTTTCTTCCACATGGCAGGGCCCCCCTTCTATCATCCCGAAGGCCCTGCTCCGTCTTCCCAGACACCCTCCTCCGACTTTGTCCCCTCTGCGAGGCCGGGAGACCCGGGAGGGCCTGACGGTCTAAGCCTCTCAGGGTCCCTGACGGAAGGACGGTACTTACGGTGGCCCCGAGCAGCGCTGGCTGAACTTACTCACCCTCGACTTCGCCCTCCCCATTTGCGGCGTGGAAGGTCAGCAAGGCCTGGGCCACATCAATGTTTCTCTGGAGGTACTGAATGTAGTGCAGGACGTGCAGCAGAATCTCCTTCTGCCCGCAAAGGAGAGGCCGGTCACGCACAGAAGTGGAGTGTGCAGGGGCGAGGAGGTGCGGGAGGGCTCCGCCCGTTCCCCACCCCAGCAATCCCTCCACTGGCAGACGCGTCCCTGCTCTGCTGTTTAGTTCTCGCTGCGGCCCAGCGAGGCAGCGGTTAGGGCGAAGGAACCTGAGGCTCAGATGTGATGGGATTGCTAAGGTTACAGAAAGGAAGTGGCCGAGCTGAGCTCTACATGCACGTCAGCCTCCGTCCTGGTCCAGTTTTTCGGCATGCGCTGTTCAGCTTCCCACCCCCGGGCCTAGGCACAGGCTCTGTGTTCTCCGTCTGCAGTCTTCCTCTGCTTCCCACACGCTCCCTCACCTGGCGTCTCCTCGGAGCTTCACCTCAGCGTTCCCTCCTTCCAGAAGCTTCCCTCCTTCCTGACCCCTCTTGCCCAGGCTGGGTCAGATGTCCCTCCTAGGCACTACTGTAGCAGCCCGGGCCCGATTCCACCAAGGCACTCGCCACGCTGCTCTATAATGATCTGTTTATACAGAGTTCCCTCCTGCTGACCGTGGACTAGATGAGGGTATAGACGGTAGCTACTTGATTCCTGTGTCCCGAGCACACGGAGTTCGAGAGGTGCCCTGGCCAGTGACTGCTGAAGGAGCAGAGCTTCCCCACAGCACCAAGCGCGACACCGCCTGCCCAGCACGCAGCACCTGTGCAGCCACCAAACACTGACCGAGTTGGGAGCTACTGTAGCTAAATAAGACAACTACCTACTAAGGGCCAGGTGTGTACGGGTGACCTAGAAATACTTTTTTTTTAAGATACACTTTTGTTTGCCTTCATGAAACTTACAACCTAGTGAGGGCAGCGGACCTGAATAAACTCATGCATCAAACAAAGTTATGGGCTGTGTGAGAAGCATTACGAGTCAGAGTATAACAACACAGGATTCTGCAGTCACGGTGGATGTCCGGAGAGGCCCCTTGGAAGCGGCGTCATCTAAACAGAGACCTGAAGAATGAAAGGAGTTAGCCCGGTGGAGATGTGAGGGGAGAACACCAAGAAGGATTTTTTGGATCCTACCAGAACCCTAGAATGACAAGAAAACCGTTAGCAGGAAGAGTCCAAACCGCAAGCCAGGGAACTCGGTCCCTCGAGGGGACTTGTGTGAAACTGTCCCGTAAAATATGATACAGATGGCCACGGAAATTATTTAACCTGAGCCATGAGAGGCAGCTATGACCCCACTACGGAGCACATGTGACCCAGCCAAGACACTCCTAATTGGGAAGGACCTGGATCCAGTCCGCCCCTCACTGGCTGTGTGCTGGGAGCAGGGTGTTCCACTTCTCCAGGCCTCGTTTTCCCCATCGTGCAATGGGGATGAGCTCCTCACTCAGAGGGTTATCATTAGGAGTGAAAAAGCAGTGGGTGAGAAATCGCCCAGCACAGAGCCTGATACATCAGTTGCCTAATACATGCTTAGCTGATGACACCCCTTCACCAGGTTCTCAAGGTATTAACTTTTTATATCCAGACCATGGGTTTTTAAAAAAATATTTATTTATTTATTTTTAGAGAGAGGGGAAAGGAGGAGAGAGGGAGAGAAACATGATGTGTGATTGGTTGCCTCTCACACGCCCCCTCCTGGGGACCTGACTGGCAACCCAGGCATGTACCCTGACTGGGAATCGAACTGGCGACCATTAGGTCCTCAGGGCAGCGCTCAGTCCACTGATGCACACCAACAAGGGTGTGATACTGTGTTTTTAGTTTAATATCTCCACTGCCAGGCTTGGCACATGGTAGGTACGCACTAAGCTGAAGTCTTTGTAAACTATAAAGTAATATAAAATGTTACTTATTAGAGCTAGTGTAAAGGTTTTATGCAGGCGGCAACTGGGCCTCATCTGAGATTTCAGGACAGAAAGTTCAGTAATTGAAACTTTAGGAAGGTTAGCCTGGGGGCTGCACCAAAGTTTCAAATACCAGAGATCTTCTGAGGGTCAGATGGACAAGTCCTGCAACTTCCCCAACACAGGAAATTCATTCATTCACTCATTCATTCATTCATTCATTCGACAAACACCTACTGAGCACTGAATAACAGAGTGGCCGAGGGCGCAGGCCTGTGGGGAGAGACACACCTGACTCTCCAGAGTCCCTGGGCAATGTGACCTGTCTGTGCTTCAGTTTCCTCAAACCAAAACAATGAACACCTGCATCTCAAAGCCTTGTGGGGAGGAGCGAATGACAAAAGGCATATAAACTGCTTGGTGCCCAGAACTTCCTGTCACTAGGAGCACCTGTTACTATTCTCTGCTCGGTGCTCAGCGCAGTGGGCACTGGGGACAGAGATTTACCCGTCACGGTCCATGCCCTCTCAGACCTCTTCACCTATCTGGGATCAGAGGTGAGAAAGCAGTCATAGGGACAGGCTGAAGGCTTTGGTGGTCAGAGGGAGAGGAAGCTACAGCACCGCAGGGGGCAGGCGGCACTTAATCAGCCAGGGTGGTGAGCGGGATGCCACAGTCTAAGCTGTATCCCGTCCCCAACGCGGGAGAGGCCACACGCAACAGCGCCCATAAGTGCACTGAGTGTCGGATGGAGCAGGTCCCAGAGCCTCGAGGGCCGTGATGATGTGCTTCAGGCAGACGGGTCACGTGGGGTTGGGGGCTGATGGGAACTCAGGGTGTATGTGGCACAGAGGGTCCAGGACTGAACTAAGGAAGGGTGAACACGCGAAAGAAGAGGGATCCTTAAGACAGTAGAGAACCAATGGTAAAGAAAGCAGGCTGAGGCCTGGGCAGAATTCCACGAGGGGACGTGGTCATCTGGTCAGTGATAACATTACGCCCGTCCCTGACCAGAATGCCATTCCTCCAGAGCGGGGACTGTGTCCCAGACATCTCTGCCCTCCATGCCAAGAGCTTATGACAGCACCTACATGCCACCAAATACTCAAATGTTTGAGGACAGAGGACAAAATTCCTCAAATGTTTTTGAGCATTTGGGTGGTTGGCATTATGCCACTCCCCAAAAACGTCTATGTCCTAGTCCCCAGATCCTATGATTATGATGGCTTATAAGGCAAAGGGGAGCTCTGGCTGGTGTGGCTCAGTGGACTGAGCACTGGCCTGCAAACCAAAGGGTTGCCGGTTCAATTCCCAGTCAGGGCACATGCCTGGGTTGCAGGCCGGGTCCTCAGCAGTGGGCACATGAGAGACAACTACACATTGATGTTTCTCTCCCTCTCTTTCTCCCTCCCTTCCCCTCTCTCTAAAAATAAATAAATAAATTCTTTAAAAAAAAGACAAAAGAGACTTTGTAAATGTGACTGATGTGACTGAATAAGGATCCTCAGAGGGGAGATTACTCTGGATTATCTGAGTGGGCCCAATGGCATCACCAGGGTTCCTTACAAGTGGGAGGCAGGAAGGTCAAAGGCAGAGAAGGTAAAGTAGGGAGGGAAGCAGAGAGAGAAGGCGAGATCTGAAAATGCCATGCTGCTGGCTTTGAAGGGGCTGTGAGCCAAGGGACTCTGGTGACCTGCAGGGGCTGGCAAAGGAGAAGGAAACAGATTCTCCCCTGGAGCCTCCAAGGAGAACCACCTCTGCCAATGCCCTGACTTTAGACCAGTTAGACTAATTTGGGCCTTCTGACCTCCAAAACTGTCAGAGAATAGATCTGTGGTGTTTTAAAACAAAAAAATTGTGGTAATTTGTGACAGTAGCAACAAAAAACTGTTATAAACACTTGTGATTAAGAGATATTTAGGGGGGGCCCTGGCTGGTGTGGCTCAGTGGATTGAGTGCCGGCCTATGAACCAAAGGGTTGCCGGTTCGATTCCCAATCAGGGCACATGCCTGGGTTTCAGACAGGGTCCCCAGTGAGGGTGCTCGAGAGGCAACCACACTGGGGTTTCTCTCCCTCTCTTGGTGTTTCCCTCCCTCTGATGTTTCTCTCCCTCTCTTTCTCCCTTCCTTCCTCTCTCTAAAAATAAATAAATAAATAAAATCTTTAAAAATTAACAAGTATGTATATATTTAAGGGAGAGTGCCAACATGACTGGGAGTTGATGGAATGCGGCGTGAAGGGAGCAGGTCAGTGTTAAGGTCTGGCAAATCTTTCCGAAACACCTGCTCCTCGGAACCTCTCTGCAGGCGAGTGGCACATCCTAGTTGGGACCGGTTACTCCTGTGCTCAAATCTTTGTCTTCCCGACCAGACTCTGAGCTCCCAGAGGATGAGGACTGGATCTCAAACTCCTTTGTTTCCCCTTGTTACAATCATAAAAGCTCTGACATCCAACAGTCTTTCCACACCTGGCTGATGAGTGAATAAGTAAATGACTGAATGAGAGGGACTATAGCAAGAGAACATCACGCCCAGCCTTCAGGATCTCCAAGTCTTGCGTTAAGTGGTCCCCACCAGGGGGGTGGGACCTTAGCTCAGTACTGTATAAGTTTATGGAGTAGCCAGCGGGGACGCGCAGAGACACTTTCTTTATCTGCATCTACATCGTGGAGATGACACCCACAGGTCACAAAACAGGGAGGGAAGTGAAATTTATTCAGGGCCTGCCACGGCTATGGTGTCGTTTCGGCTTCACCATATCTCTCGGCAGGAGGAGTCGTCTTGACTCATGTACAGCTGAGAAACCCGAAGCTTGAGACGTGGATAACTGGAGTGACCTGCCCGGGATTCTGCAGTCATGGAGCCGGAGGGCTCGAACCCGTGGCTGGTGGACTCCCAAAGCAATGACCTCTGCTGGCTCCTTGCCTATTTTTCCCTCACAGTTTCCCCTGACTCGTTTTCAAGAGACAGAATGCCACAGTCTTGGGCTCACAGACTCCTGGGAATTCCCGTCCAGAGCAGGACACTTGTCATCTTGGTGCTGCCCCAGAAAGGGTCTGTCTCTGTTTCTCAGGACAGGGAAGTTAACCTGCCTTACTGGCATTTCCAAATCTACCTCCCAAATCCACCTCCCAAATCCACCTCCTGTCTTTCCGTCCACATACCTTGGTGAGCTTCTTGCTGCTGGTCCTCGGGGCCACAGGTAGCAGCAATGCCAACTCATGGAGTTTGCTGGTGTGGTTTTTCTTTTGCTTCCTGTTTGGGGACAAGCACTGATTTTGATGACAACATCCAAATGGAATTTGGCATCTGACTCCCAAACCTCCTGTCTCATTGTGCCATCTCAGGGACCGCAGCCCTGGCACCTGAGACAAAGTCCCGGACATCGCCTGGACGTCGTCCCTTATCCCCTTGTCTAATCGGTCACCAAATCTTGCCCGTTCCTCGTCTGGTCCCTTCTCTCCACCACTACTGCCCCTGCTGTCATCCATTCACTGACGCCCTCACAGGCCTCCAGCTTCCCACCTGGCCTCCTCCAATCTGTACTCTGCACTAGAATCTTTCTGAAACACAAACCTGACCAGTTCTCTCACCTGTGTGATGGAAATGAGGACATTCATTCAGGCTCAGGGGCTTATCAGTGGGATTAAATAAGTTAGAGTGTGTGAAATTGCCCAGTGCAGAACCTGATCTATTAGGTGCCTAATAAGTGCTCCAACCTCTCCATGCCATCCCAGTAAGGGTCAAGTTTAAATCCTCAGTGTGGTTTACAATGCCCCTCATGGCCTGGCCTGGCTGACCATTCTCTTACTTCCTTTGGTTCTCTCCCACTGTCTGGTCCTAACTGCACAGGGCAGGTGAGGCACCTCGGCTGTGGTCCCCCAGCCCCTGTGTTCATGACTGTCTCTGCTCCCTGTACTGGGCTGAGAGCTGGGTTGCGGGGGAGGGGCTCCACTCTGCCACTAGCACCTAGAACGGGGTCTGGTACATTGCAGGAACTCAGTGCATATTTGCTAAATGATTGAATAAAAAAGGACATGGAAGTAATTGACTCCTGGGACGATGAGCAATTTCTGGGATCTAGTCCCTGGATCCATAATTCATAACAGGCCCGTGAGCACACACCTCCATACCCCCTCCTGACAGATGGAGACACAAAAACATTGAAGTCTCTGCCCTGCATTACAGGCCACTGCCATTGCTTCTGCTGTTCCCTCGGGCATGCGCAAACACCTGTGTCCGCCAGTCCCTACCTCTCCTTCCTTCAGGGCCCAGTTCAATTGCCGCCCACCCCGGGAAGCCTCCCCAACCTCCCTTGCCTTCCTGCCGGGCCCTGGGCTGACCAGCGTGGGAACAGAGAGGAATCACTGTCATGCCCTTGAGGAGAAGGGGGTGCAGTATGGACAATACACTTCTTTCCCTAATCAAACCCTGACGTCCTGAAAGAGTCTTTCTCACTCATTCATTCAGCAACTTCGTATTGAGCACCGACTATGTGCCAGGGGTTGTGACAGGTGACAGGGATAAAAAATGTAAAGGACAAGTATGCCCACAGTCTAGCTAGGGACAAAACCACCATTCAAACTGTCACACAAACAAACATAAAATCGCAACCAGGACCAGAACCAGCTACCCAATTTGCTTGGGGAGGAGCACCACAAATAAAAATGTTGGACCTCTTGTTCAAAAATCAATCACTTCAAGATCCTGAGGGCAGAGCATTACACCAAGCATTGGGCTCCTCTAACCACAGGACCCTGTGACCACATAGGTCACCTGCCCAAGAAGTTGATCCTGATGGGGACACAGGCAAGGTATTCCTTGGTGTTATGGAAGCTTGTAACAGGTGAGCTAATCAACAAGGTTTTCCCTGAGGAAGTAAACCTGGGCAGAACCTGTTCTGAAGGATCAGTGGGAAGGTGTTGGTGGAGAGTGAAAGAGATCATATCAGATAGAGGGGGCATGTGCAAAGGCCCTGGGGCACAAGGCAGCATGGAGAATTCAAAAGAAATAAAGCCGGAGTGTTTACGGCACAGAAAGCAGAGAGCCCTGGAGGGTAAGACAAGACTGGGGAAGGACACTGGAGCCAGGACAGGCAGGGGCTTGCAGGCTCCTGGCACAAAGGACTTTCGCCTTTATCCCAAGACCGGTTTTACACAGGGGATATGCTATGAATCCCTAAAACTCCACATATTAGTTGATTGAATGAAGGAATGAAAGAAAAAAATCACTAATTGGTCTCTGGCTACGTCCTGGTAGACAACATAACTTTAAAAGGCAAGGGTGTTGGGGTTCTACCTTTGGAGAAAAATGGGGTAGGCTCACCTCTAAAGCCCTGCCCAGCCCTGGTATTTGTATTTTGCATCCCACGTTCCTTCTGTGCCAGAGGAGCCCCTGGGAGCCCCGGCAAGAACCAGCACAGACAGCAAGGAGGAAAACGTGCCCGGGCCCAGGCAGCATTTGGCCTCGTCTGAGGAAAGGGGTTTCATGCCATACTCCGGGTTTTGCATAGCAAACCCAGGCTCATACTCTGGGTTTTGCACAGCAACAAGAGAACCTTCTGAGCAACTGTTCTCCCCCCACCCCGAAAAAAAAAGGGGTTGGAGGGAACAAAAGGATGACTAAGAGTGACAAAATCCTGGCATTTCCTGGCCACTGGTCCTGGATAAGTATGACCTGGGCTGTGCTCACAGGGGACTCTGGGAGCCACACACTGCTGCCCCTTTCCTTGCTGGGCAGTTCTGGGTTTAGCCAAGTTCTTTCCTCATCGTCTCTATGCTTTTCACCCTCTTACCCTAGCTCTGCCCTCTGAGTCTGCAGGGAACTGGTCCAGCCACATGGATCCCTTTTCCATTTTTTTAAACTGCCAAGATGATTTCTGCCTCAGGGTCTCACTCTTCCCTCCACCTGAAATGCTCCTTTGCCCTGATGTTTGCATGGCTGGCTTCTTTTTCCCTGTTCATTGATGGCCTTAAATGGAGCCTCTTCAGACTGGCCATTTCTGACCACTCAATTAAAATAAGCACATTTTCTGGTCCCATGCCATATCATTTATCAGCATCCGAAATCTTATTTATTATAAACTCCATAAGGGGAAGGATTTTTTTTAAATTGCTAATATCCCAAGCTGACTTATCCATTAGGCATAGTAAGTACGGTGCCTAGGGCCTGTGACACCTTTAGGAACTTACAAAACTGTTCTAACATTTTTAAAATCAGAAGAAAAAAATGGGTATCATCCAACTGGGATTATATTTGTCTTCATACCAATGTTGTTAACTGTAATTTTTAATATGTTTTTAATGAAGGAAGGGGTCCAAGAAGGCAGAACTTCCTACGGCCCATGAAAGTCCTAACATGGCCCTGGCTGTATCCCTAGCTCCTAGAATAATGCCTGGCACTTAGTAGGTGCTCAATAAAAAATTGTTGAATTAACAAATACTCCTGTCTTGTGATGGCCTCTTAGGATTTGAAATGACAAATGACTCCAATTCCTGGGTTCCTTCTTCCTAGGTGAGCTAGTAATCAGCCTACACACTCCCTAGTTCCTTTCTTTTGTGGGAGCTGAGAGGAGCCTTAACCAAGAGTCAGTCCAAATTTCTCATATTAGGTATGGGAATAGCAAGGCCTGCTCCCTAATTCGCTCTAACAGGCACAGAGACTTAAGAGTTTGAGCTGCCCCAAAGTGGAACAATTCAAGGAGCAGTCCCAAGAGGCAGCATAAAACCTGGCTGGGAGTGCCAGCTTTTAAAGCAGCCAGACCTAGATGGAAATCCCAGCTCAGCCACTAGCTGTGTGACCTTTGGCAACTGCTTTCATCTCTCTGAGGCTGTTTTTAACTTATTTATCAAATGCAGGTAGCTAGGAAGATTGATCTTGTCAGAAAGGTGTTTAATATACACCTGGAACACAGGGAGTGCTCACAAAATATTAGCTCAACACAGAAGATAGACAGTCATTTGTCAGAATGACTTAGGGATATGGAATATTAGAGAATGCGGTGGAGGTATGTGTTGTATGACTATGACTGATGAAACTGTTGCTTTGGGTTGACCAACATCTGACCCCCCTTTTCTGGTAGTAGTTTCCCTTGGTGGGCCACTCCTCCCCCGCTCCCAGTCCCTGTGGTTCAGAGAAGCTAACATCAACCTCCTCTTCCACTAGGGAGCGCTGGAGCAAGAAGTCACACTGATTGGTTTAAGAGTGGGGTCGTAACCCAGATCTGGCCAATCAGAGTCAATGGATTCTGGAATGAGGCTCTGTGCTGGGGTTGTCAAGTTAACAAGACAGGATTTGGAGCTGCTGGAAGCCACCTTGCCCTCGCAAAGGGACAACCTGCTTGAGAAAGAAGCCAATAGGTCCACAGCTGAGCTGGGAAAGGCAGTTTCGTGGCAACACAATTTATCCCCCACCCGAACCCAGCCAAGCCTGATGCCCCTGAATTTTTTGTTTAAAGGATCCAATAAATCCCTTCTTAGGCTTAAGCTAGGCTTCAGCTAGGTTTTTGTTCACTGCAACGAAGAGTCTTTCTTCTTCCAAGGGCCTCATATCTAGAAAGCAGAACAAGAGAACATGTTGCTGCTCACCTCTGGGATTCCAGGAGGAGTGGGCAGCAGCACAGGCATTCTTCGTCATCTTCACAGTGCTCCTCCTGCGCACAGTACCTGCGAGGAGAATTTGAACAAAGTCGACACTTATTTTTGGAGTTAATGAATGAACGAAGAGATGAATGAACAGAAAAATCACTGGCGCAGATGGGGTGGGGACGGTCTGTAAGGGATACGATGACCTCTGCCTATGTTTTTCTTTATCTTGACATGGGAGGGAGGGAGGAAACGGATCCAACCCTCCATCTGCTGTGAAAATCTCCTCTATAAGACTCCTGACACTTGCTAGGTGCTTGATGGATGAATGAATACGTGAATCAAAAAGAAAGGGAGAAAGAGCAACTGAGATATGCTGAACGCCAAAGCCTGCAAGGGCTTAGGGATGATCTTTGCCAACCACCTCAGACTTTTCTCCTCTTGACAATGGTGGTTATATTCTTTGTGGAGTCATTGTTAGGATTAAAGCACCCCATGCAAACAAAAGGCTTAGCAAAGAGTCTGGCAAAACAAAATGCTCAGTAAACATTATTATTATTATTATTATTATTATTATTATTCCACCAGAATGACTGGAGCTATGAGGAAGATTGGGGGTGGAGGGTGCTTACCTGTCACTGGAACTCAGGGAACTGGCTTTGGGGCATTCTGAGGAACACACATATTTGCTGGAACCCCACATCTGCAAAGGAAGAAGGAGGAAACATTAGTGACCCCTGGGACTCCAGGAGAAACGGGCAGCTTGATGGGCAGCCTTCATTTTCCCCAGGGTGCTCCTTTGAGCCCTAGAGATCCCAAAATGGAGTTCTCGAGCCCCACAAATAAGGGCCCAGAGACCAAATCAGTACCCCAAAACTCGACATTGAGTCCCACATTGTACATTGGGG